TCTGTGACCATTCTAATCAGCAAATCTGTGCATTGTGCTCCCAAAGAAGACAGTGACCCCCTGACTTAGATGGATGTGCAACACTGTTTCAAAAGCCTCAATTAGATACGCAAGATTTTTACCTTAGAAGTGCTTTTTAGGAATGCAAATAACAGAGATAAAACGGGTGGCGATACTGATTCATTCAGTACAGGAGGTTAAAAGCAATTCATGGTTTACTGTCTCCAGCTCGATCAAACGTGTTTTGACGGTGTTCATTGCACACTGGGTACAGGAAACTCAAGGCTGAAACTTCTTGTTAGGGTGGGAAAATGCACTCAGTCTGAAGGCACATAAAGAGATTTCTAACCCTGTTACTGGAGCCTTACGTACCGTCATAACTACGTGAGAGGTTAGATCATACAATTGGGTGCCTGGTTACTTTTCTCTCTTACTCTAAAGTACACAGCCTGTCCAAGAACTGCATATGCATAATTCAAGTTAACAATGACTTGGTTTGAATAGCCCCTAAAATTCCCTCTATGGTGTCCCGAAACGGAGGTGACAGCTTGTAAATTTATCGTCTTGGATTCATATTTCTCGAAATGGACACGCATATTGATGTGTAAAGGTATAGATGGAATGAAATCGCCTACCAAACGTCGAACAGTCAGCTGAAATATGTTCGAGGAGATTTCCGAATGAAACGAATACTAACTTGGGTTTTGGTAAAGAGCACACAAATTTGTACGTAAGATGGGTTAAAAAAACAAATACCGAAAGGGATAACTGAACAAATGGAGGGAATCTTTATGCACAAATGCCTGCAAATTTTGTTCCTCGCGTTTGTACAGCGTTTCTCAGTTAGTTAAAGTATTGTATTATATTCGGCTGATTTCGCATAATAACTAACTAACTGAACAGAACTCACTTCGGAAGGGCTTGGCAAATAATGGGTAGATTTTTACGAAGCCCTTCTGAGGTGATAGTTGCTCAATCGATTCCAAACTTTTCCAATTAAGCAGAACTCCTCTACTATCTCACATGGGATCAATGAAGTACTTATGAGTACCTGAGTAAATATCGAAGTATGGACAACACGAGAGATTTCACTTTGGGTTCTTTGGACTCTTCGTCACTTTAAAAGAAGCTCCTTAAAATCGTTTTACTTTAAACAAAGCTTCAAGGTCAAAAACACAAGTTTAGTGGTCTTTATCGCATTGTTGAGTTGGTTACCCGGTAACTTATGATGATCATTTGATAATATTATCAAACGTTAATGAAAATACGCCGTAATTTTTCTACTTTATCACTCCCTACTTAGTAGCAAAACCAACGCCCATGAGTCATTTTTTCAAGTACACGAAGACTGAAACTTTTTGACTTATCGCGTTCCCCTGTTGTCTGGCTTTCATGAAACTGCTATATTTCCATACCGCTGATATTAGCTAATGCACGAGACTACCGAGTAAAGGAAGCCATGGCAACAGAACAAGAAGTAAATCAATATCAAACAGACTTTCAGAACGAAAAATCTCAACTTGCTTAAAGAACACCACGCCAAAGGAGCTGACCACTTTCAGGCCTGTGTTGCAGATATATCAGACTCACTACAAAGAGTAGCATTTTTTGAAAAGCCATTTATCACAAGCGAGATGGCTGGAATATTCTCCTGCATGTTTCATAAATCACTGGGCATTTGATGACTTTCTCTGCAGCGCTTTTGAGCTAGGTCGGACTTTGATAAAAAACCAAGTAATTATTCTAATAAAAAATTCTGAGACTACTCAGCCTGGAAACGTCACAAACGAGAGATTTAGCTGGGTTCCGGGTAAGTCAGTCACAAACCGAATTTGTTTGCAAATGGGTATATTTCGCTCATTAGCTACAATTTTGAGTGTTTCTCATGATCCATTGGATTGATTGGATGGACTGAAAAGTTAGTATTAGTACAAAAATGCTGGTGTTCCAAATCTGCGACTCGACAATTCACCTCAGCATGAAAATCGATAACATAACATCAATGTTCAACACCAATGTTTTCATGATGATTTATTTGAAAGCCTTATTGTGAAGGAGAATCTAGATGTGAACGGGGAATGGACTGAGTGCTAATCAACCACAATCATTCCGATGGGTCTCCAGATATTCATTCTGGCAATCGGGATAGAAATCGACACAAGAACGTCATTGACTCCGATTAGCAACCATATCTTGCAGTGTCTCCAACCAGACACCGTGGAGATAATGCGGTCCCCATCCTGGATGGCGAGCCGCACTGATATCACTCAGACATTTTGTAAACTCTTTCATACCCACCTGTTAGGTCAAAGGTTGGCCAGCCCTCTGCTCCCGCCATTCTAAAAACAGCACTCTCTTTGGCAGACACCATCACAGCCATACAGCAAAACAGGCAGCACCGTAGCCTGATACTCACATTCCTTGAGATTTATGGATATACCGCTTTGACGCCAATGGTAAGCGTGGCCTCAGCCTTGCAGATTCGTGGACGGACCATATGCCACACTAAAATCGGAACTGCTACAACCTCATAACAGACAGAACGTTCCACAACTTCGAGTGCCATTTCCTGGATTGTAAGGGACGTGTTCAGTGACTACATGTGAAGGTGTATGTCATTACACTTTGGGTGCAAAGCGTATGCCAGATGGTGGGATGACTCTGACCAGTTCATTCAAGAACACCCGCGTCTTCTCTTCGAAGATGAAAACGATGTCTTTTCTGTATCACTTCTCAGCACTTCTCAGTAGCACTTTGAACAAAAGGGTTTTCAAGACCTTCTAGCGCTTGTTTCATAATCTTCACAATTGAATGCAACTTAACTCTACTATCGCTGTGGTGGTATATTATACTATCAATAACTGATATATTGAATTTGAGTCGAAAGACTTAAAGGTTCGGCACCCATGAGATGTCTGTGCAACCATAAACGAACAGTGCATACCTATAAGCTTACTGTTCAAACTCTTCTAACCTCAACCTCGCACCAACCACTCTTTAAACAGTATAAACTGTTTCTTTCGATAAGGGTCCATAAGCAGACAAGAGTAAATATTGTTCTAAAAACATAAGCTTTTCTTTTTGGATACGTCGAGTTTCTAGGTCTGTTGAATGACAACACTTCAAAGAAACATGAAAATGAATAAATTGTTTGCTGCAATAAGTGAGGTGGACCCTTCTGGACAAAAGTCCAAGTACTTAAAATTCCAGGAGCTCAGTGCCCAAGCTGTACCTCTTGGAGTTTTTTAGATTCATTTGGCAAGTTCGATGGTGGATTCCAGTAGGCTTCTGTATCCCAGTAAATTTTGGTGCGGGTTTTCCTTTCGATGACCCGGGATTGGATTCCTACGAGGGTGCTTTCAAATCGGCTGTCTGACCAGACTTGGAAAGTTCCATTCGCGTTATTTTGTCAGTAAGACGAAAAATATGACAGAATCCCTTATGGCTTATTAGATGACCACATTTTAAACATCACTTCACAGGACATCATCATTTTTATGTTGCAAAAATAGACCAGTATGCTTAGGAATGATGTGGCAACTTACGTTTTACATCTTTGGTTTAGCTGGCAACTAGGATATGAATAGTGTTAAACAATAAAATTCCGGCTAATGTAATTTAATTCGGCTCCGATTCCCAAAACTACAGGTCGCCGGTTAAGACCGGAAGGACTCACTATTCGCATGGGACTTCCATCTGAGAACTTGTCAACTGGGGACATAGCATCGAATCACGTGGTGTGGTTTACATGACTCAAGGCTAGTTGTACTGTATTTTAACTGAGTGGGGGTAATAAACGAGCAGAGCAACCTTTGTAATGCTGAAAATCCATCGATGGATTTCCAGCAACCTTATGAGTAGTACATTACAAAGATATACATGTATCGCGATATTTCAAATATCGTAGCGACTGAAACATGAGACGGCCTGGTGCAGCACATTCAGTTGCCTGAAAACATCACAAACGAGAGATTCAGCTGGGTTCCAGGTGTCTCTCGAAAGAACCAAATTGGTTTGCAAACGAGAGCAGAGCAATCATTCGAGACTGAATTTCTGACAAATAATCAGCAGACCGTCAAGCCATAATTTCTTTGAGGTTTGTAAATTCACCGTAGTGAAAAATGGACATAAAATGTTAGTGATTTCGTCTATGGGACAGGGTATTGGATAAGTCTAAAATGAAGTATGGCTGATGAATTAGAATTCCAATATCCAGTCCAGTACAGGATGTCGGTATTGGGAAATTCAGAAAATAAACTCAGTGAGTGAACTTGCGTTATTCCAATATCCAGTCCAGTACATGATGTCCGTATTGGCAAATTCAGAAAATAAACTCAGTGAGAGAGTGAAACTTGCGTTTGTAAAGCCAAGTTTTTGTATACGTCAACAAACCATTGGAATTAGTTGACGAAATATTGCTTTTAGGTCTCCAACTTGTTTTCTTCGGTTTTTTTGCCGTAGATAGTGAAAATGAGGCGTTTCTTAAGGTTGGCGACACAGTCAATAACTAGCTTGTTTGTTGTGCCCTGAGACATGATATTTTGAAATTGAACTCCAGAAATATCACGGACACACGCTGCTCAGATTGTCGGATTAGATTGTCGGATCTACACAAAGGGCAATCCAGCGTCATGGTTCATTGGCTCTGTCGGCCACATGGGGACTGATCTGCTGCATGCAGCTGTTATCATACTCAGCTAGGATTTCAGTTGACTCCCGAGGCAAGAATGCCTTTCTCGGAATATCTTAGGGACCGATGTTGATGATTTTAGCGTCCTTCTTGTACGAAAGATGTCCAAAGCACCGAAGAGGTTATCACTGACGGAAGTAGGCGTGGCAAGTGATGATCACGTTTTTGGATCTCCTCACAACAACTAGGTTCAGCCGTAGAGTTCAAAGTACTGTGTGTAAAGAGAAAATTTTTGCAGTCTTCTTCAGAACACACACAAGGAGTCCAAACAATGTATTCCGGTTCTAACGATGTTTATGTTTGATTTCAGTGCTTGTCATTCGATGCCTACTTCCAAGAAACAGTGAACGAACGCCGTGAGGAGCAATATCGGGTTCGGCGCTGCAAAGTTTATTTCTACCCCGAAGATGATACCATTCAAGTTGTGGAGCCGAGATTAGCAGACACAGGCATACCACAAGGTTAGTGTCTTCAGCATGCGTATCTTGAGTGCTGCTCAAATTCTCTTCCTCAACACACTCGCCCAAGACGGATTCTCCTCTAATGATGACTTTCTGATTTCTGATCAATTACAGACCACTTAGTGATTTACAAAGAGACCGCTTGATGCCACTGCTATCGAGAAACCAGTTGTAATCGACTTGTTTTGGAATCTTTACCGATATTTCACTGTCTACTGTTTATGTTCGCAACATGAATCGTTCATAACGTTCACAGCAGTTAAAAACAACTATAGGATGCATATGTACTTTTCAAGATTTTTTTCTGGCTGTATTCACAACATTCTTATCTGAGCAACTCTCTTGCTGTGCTGATGTGAGGAGAGATTTTCTATTCGTGGCTGTCTCGCTCAGTATTGACCTCCGAGTGAGGTCAAGACGACTCAGTGCGCATCAAGCCGCAGATAACGATGCTCTCTTCGTTCGCTGGGCTGAATCTACCACTGCTCTGAAGGTGTTATCATGTCTGGTGGACCAGTTGTAAAATCACCTGTCAAATCATCCTCAAATGGGGCACGAGCATGTAGCTAGTGGGCAAAGAGCAAGGTGAACAATCTCGCCCTACAAGTACTGTTCACAAACGATTCAATTCTAAATAACCTCCGTAAATTCTTCTAACGTTGCTTGTCATTCCTCAATACATCACAATATTCCGAGTATCGTGAAGCAGCTATTGGGATGTAAGACACAATAAATCATCACTCGAGATTCAGGTTTTTCCGCCTGACCGTAACAAGCATACTGAAAACGAACCTTCCAGCCGTAAAACGCTTTCGGCATCTAGCTGCCATACCACCCGAAGGAAGTAAGAGGTACTGCAAGTCTGCCCAAGCCTGAACAGCAATAGTCAAGATGGGTTCTAACCATGGACCTTCTGGTTAGTAAGTTCACGCCTCAGCCACTGATCTATCTCGAGCTCAATTAGCGTACTTTGGGTGAAACAGTCCTCATGTACTGACTTAACAAAGCTGTTCAATCATCCTGGAGATAAAATAAGAACGTATTTTGAGGGAAGGGTTTGAAAATCCGTTTGCATGCTCGTTCTAGGATAACCCGTCAGTTAAACTCTACGCTCCATCACAAAGTTAATACGCGCAACCGGCAAACTTTTCATTCATTATGAGGAACACGTTCAGATGACCGAACTATCTTCCAGCAAAATGTGTGAGGAACATCTTTTCGGCAAGGTATTTCCTAGTCATACAGTTGCAGAGGCTAAGATAGTAGTATTTAACGCACTTTAATAAGGACGCTGTATATGGAACATGGAGCCGAATGAGAGATGGCAGTGGCTATCTGTCAATGAACAACTGTTCTATTTAGGGACGAAATACCAGTCAGCCTACTGTGCAGAAGGCTCTACACCAGGTTGAAAAACTTTTACCGGCCACGGCATTCCAAACCTGGTTCACAATCATCCATGTTCCTTTAGCCTCAACGACGATGTGTCTGTTCAAGCCAAAAATAAGTTAGTATACTCATTCTCTTGCCAATATGCAGCGGACTATATTGGATGAAGGACGATGGAGCTAGGTCGAAACATGAAGGAACACAATCTACCCGGAAAGGATTCTGCAAGTAGGAGGAAGATAACCGACAGCATCTAATAGACACGGTTCATGGCGTAAAACCTAGCCGAAGTTTCCATATTGTCTACAAGGCGCCTGTTAATTAAGCCAGTTCGGCAGGGTACCGCACAATTGTAGTGGCTGAAGCCACTGCCATCCGGCATTATTAAGTTATCAGTTGGCGGAAAAAACGCTTTGTCTGTTTGTTGGACTTTCCATGGTCCAGATCACCGCCCCACATACACCCTGTGCTGAACATACAACTTCAGCACCGTCTACACTGACAAACTCAGGTAGTTATCACGATGAATTGAACTTCTTCGATAAGTAGCCATCACCGCCTTCCTGTCCTACCACACACACACACACCATATTCATTGAATTGCGTTAAATCCTGCTGTATTAGCCTCTGCAACTGTATAGGACTTGGAAAGACCTTGCCGAAAACATGTTCATCAACCCATCTTTGTTCTTATCCAAAGAATTTTCCAAGCAGTGCGACGGTTTGTCGAACCAAGCCACAATAGACGGAATTTGGTGCTACCAAAAATCATTATCTTAAGTTGAGATACTTTGTTATCATTTTCCATTGTAATTTTTTTAAAATAATCCCTACCTTCCTTTCAGGAACGATCATTCGTCGGCATCGAATTGCGAAACCACCACCAGAAGACCACCTGTTCTACACGGTTGATGACTTCAACGTAGGGAATGAGTTCACTGCTTATGGAAAGAAGTTCCGACTGGTATCATGTGACCCGTTCACAGCAAACTTTTTGCGAAAACTTGGAGTGCGTCTGGGGGAGCCGGAACCGATTCCAGATGACCCATACATGGTTCACCGCAAAGCTGTAGGTGGAAATCAGAATTTACAAGACGAAACTGTATTGTTCCATATAGAGAGTCTTTGAAATGACGGAAACAGAGGACTTGTTAATGATTGTGATGACGATTCAGCCTTATAACAATAGAAAACATATTCGGTTTTAAAGATTTATCAAATTCAGAGTCCAAATATATCGTGCGGGTTCATTCGTACACTCGTACGTTATACGGGCTACGTTACATCATGAGCTTCTCTAACTAGCTCTTCTGTTTGCTATAGAGGATAGTTTTGGTGGCTCAGATAGCATAGATGGTTGTTGGTTTGTTCACTGAGCTGGGCAATTTGATTGCAAACGTTCTATCACCAATCGAGATGTGACATAATCAGTGCGTTGTTAGAGAGCGTAGTGGAGCGTAGTGATGGATCGGTGGTCGATTCTGTCCTAAGCCACTGTGTAGCAACAAAGAATGAACTCGTATTTTCTGACTTTCCGTTTGGACGTTTTCATACCAATAAAACACAATTGCTCTCTACCTTCGCTCATTAGTACACAGAGTCTATGCAACCGCTGCGACCTTATGAACGTATCGACAAACTACGACAGTTCTTGGATCATGATCGTCATGTGCTTCGATTTTTCTGTTTCTGGGATGATACGGAATCACTGTATGGAGATCCTCGTGAAATGGTGCTGCACTACTTTTTGGGTAAGCCATTGGTCTGACTCATTTGTTTTAGTTTATCCCCCTTTTATGTACTACCACTGTTGGCTCCAACTCCAGCAATTCGTTACATGTCCGCGGTAGCCTTAATCAGGTAACTTTCAATAAATGCATGAAAGGTATGCATGAAGGATGGGCTTTAGATAGTGAAAGAGTTTGCGCCCATTTGTTAAGAGCAGATGTTCCAAATGAAATGTATTGAGATGATGAACTGGAGGAGCTTCTGAAAACTTATCAATACAAAAGGTGTTTTCAGAATCAGTTACAGTAGGATCCAGGTAAGCGCAGTTCCCATAGGAGGCTTTACATGCCAAATTTACCTTGAAGAAGTACATGATGCAACTAAGGTGACCAAAAACGGAGAGGTCACCCCGTGAGACAAAATGTAGTACAACTTGACCAGAACGAAGCATCTACTGACGTATTTCAATACCATGAATGCACTGTGGCCAAATGTATGTAAACAACTCAGAAAAGATATGTAGAGGGACTCTCAAGTGAGAGGAGACAGGGGGAACCTGATCGCGTATCGTCTCATGAAGATAGGCTTTCACAGATATACACTGCTTACTCCACTCACTGAGCGCAGCTGTCTCCATCTGAAAGGAGCATTTTGAAGGGCCGATTTGAAGCGCCTCTGTTAGCAGATATTCTGTCCCAAGGGTCCAGAGCCGCATAAGTATAGCTCTCAGGAACAACTATAATCAGGACTCTTTTCACGTCATATCACAAGTACTGAAATTACAAAGTCATTTTGCAGTCAGAAAGAATTTCACACATTTCTTCAACACTTTCAGCCTATTAATTTTGTTAATCGCCTCAGGCTCCAATGAAAAATCAAGGAAGGCCTCAGGACTGTTTCTCATTAGTTACGAAATTGATTACTTCGTAGTTGATAGCGCATCGTATTCCTATTCCCAGATTTAAATGGACTATTTGGTGAGCTTTTTCGTCAAGCTCAAAGTCTTGAAATGGAGCCTGAAGTTCGACCGGCGAAGCGATCCGCAGAAGTGCTGAGCACGAACTAAACATGTAGATTGAAAACTACTTCCCGAAAGCCAGTAGTCAGAATTTACCACATTCATGCTGCCGCAAGTAGCAGGCACAAACATCCATAAACTACGGACCCGACCGAATTAGTCGAGACCAAAATCCAAAAAGATTTCCTCAGTGGCAATGAGTGATTTGTCAGCCAGTCAAAATGTCGGCAATTGTTTCAAATCTCTAATGTTTCATGCTGTTGAAAATTCAGGTCGGGAGTGTACTCATAGAGGCGAGTCATGGAATGAATTTATCAGTTCAGAAAATTACCACCCGAAACATTTGAACACATATTTTCGAATCTTGCTACCATACGACATCACCCCGCACGCCTGACTTAAAGTTTCGTGGCTTTTCTCCCCGCTTAGCTGATGACACCATTGAAATCCGCGAAGTCATTCCAGCAAATTCGGGACGAGACAGTGCTCCATGTTTCTTACGACGTCAGAAGTTACCACGAGGAGTTCCACAAGTCCCCCTTCCGGGCACGATAACTGACCGAACTCTTCTAAACGTATTTGGACATCCACAAAGGGGTGGGCGGTATATCCTTGACAGTTTGAAGGTAATCATATTTGAAATATCATGAAATAATGGGAAAGATGTGTTTTTACAGCATAATAAGTTTGCTGTTTCTAAGAAGTCAAACTTGCGGTGTGTCCAATTTGCTATGGTATATATATATATATATATATGTATTCACTTCAAGATCGAGAATCATCATACTTTATATTTGCACTTAGTTCAGCCGTGTTTCGATAATCCTTTGTCAATCCCGGTCCCTTCACATGGAATAAGTGAGCGAGTTCCGCACTTTTGGAGCTTAGGGGTAACTCTTATTAGTAGTTCTGGACCTCTAAAGTCCTGAAATACAAAAGAAGCATGGCGTACAGAGGTAAAATTAGACCTTTTTACGTGGTTGTACAAGATATGACGCTGTTCGGTTTCGTCTCATGTGTATCAACGTGTGAATTCATGGTTGTTACTGGTCTACACCAAAAGGGTAGCAGACAACCTCAGGATATGTGCACCAAAACAGAAGCAGGGCTGTGCAAACGTGGACGTAGGTTCAAAGATATATACAACCATCCGTAAGAAATGTTTGGTGACAAAAGCCTTCGGGTCTGTAGTCATCTCAGGCAATTTTTGTGTTTTGTTTATGGTTACACGAGGCCAGAAACGGTTCCGAACCAGGTGAATGGGGTAAATGGATAGACGTGGATAAACGTGTTGTCATGCACTTTCAGTGGGTGTCTTCTGAAACCCGGTGGAGACATTGGGTCCAGTATGGATAATAGCGATGAACAACTGAGGAACATATTCACACTCCGCACCCATCTTCGCCTCATTCTTCGAGCTACTCTTAACTCGAACTTAGTTCCAGTGTGACTGCACCTTTCAGCTAACAACTGCTGTAAATACTGCCACACTGACCTTCACGAAAGTCGGACCTAAACAGGATCCGAAATCCCCCTACGAGTTAATACGAATAAGTGGCCTTGTTTTGAAATAATGTCAGTTTCAAAACTGCGAGCAGAAACATGAAAAAAGACGCAATCTTTGAGATAATAAAGCTGAATTTGAATTTGATTTGAATTTGATTCCAGATTGGCGCTTACAAAGAAGACTTCTACACGGATCGCGATTTGACAATTGGAGCCAGTCTGAACGTTTACGGGCGTAAATTTATCCTATGTGACTGTGACGAATTCACAAAAGAATACTATCGGGTGAAGTATGGCCTAAGTATGTTCCTACCTGTATGTATGACTACCTGTTACTCCGGTTGCCAATTAACCAGTGTGTTTCAGTAAACGGGGGTTAACCTGATGCATGAACAGTTCACATTTTTTTCGACTTTTCTATCCAAAGAATGATCTTCACTTGGTAGTTCAGCATAGTGACACTTTGGAATAACGAATAAAAAATTGCAGCTGACAAAGCAATCAGAGGTAGTTTAAAATATTTAGTTTGTTTTGTAGCCTTTGTCAATAAGAGAGAAGATTACAAAGCAAGACGATGAACGACGATTTGAAAACTTGCAGTTAGTAAATGAGCGACACGTTTCACACAGCCAACAAGTGTCCTCTTCCGGACTTTTCATAAGGGTTTCGTTCTGTGGGTGAAGCCTACCTGTATGGAAAGGCCGAGAAGCACCGTTCAGCTGTTTCATCCTTATTGGGATTCTTCAGCAGTGTGCATCTCACAGGGCTCCAGGGAGCTTCGAACCCACGACTTGCCGGCCAATGGTGTGAACGCCGAGCTGTTTATCCGTGGGTGGTTGATAAGCAGTGTAGTTAACTTGCATTTAGACAGGATGTAGGGCTACTCACCCTTCAATCACAGAGGCCGCATCATATGGCCAACTGCCGACTGGCTTCAAGAGGAACCACTTTTCAGATACAGGTCTTACCCTGTGAAGTTATTCTTCCTGTAAGCCATCTATAAATTATTAGTAGAACGTTTGTGTCCAAACTACCAAACGGGATATCGGTGCTTCAAAATTGCCGGGAGGCTGGCGAGAAGCGCACTACTGATTTTTCTCAATAAGAATGAAATAGCTGTATAGAGCTTCCAGACTATTCAGTGTATGTTGGCAGCAACTACAAATCAAAATATTCACTGAAAAATCCAGAAAACTTGTCACGCTACCAATTTCTCCTTAAGATTGTCGTTTTTCTTCTCCATATGTAATCTTGCATGCTTCGTACCCGCTACTGAGGATGATAAAAGGAATGTTAACAAACCAAGTATAGTTTATTACTTACTGCTTGACTAAGTCATTTCAAGCAACGGGCATATCTGAAAATGTATTCAGCTGTACGTCTCCCTTTAACCCTAGCAGTGCCCGCAAGGATTTGAGAGTGACTGAAAACTCCATATGGTTTCAAAAAGTGGCAGCTAAATCTGTTATACCTAACTTCTGTCCGCGCTGCCGTGCCTTGGCGTCGGAAAAAGACCCGCTAATGAAGTACACAACAACTTTATTGCAACTTTATTGCAATAAGTTAGAACGGTCTCGCGCTATCAAAAGGGTACTTTGGGGCATCGATCCGGGCTGTCTGACCGTCGTTTAGTGGACACCCATCAACATCGACCGGGCTTCTATGAAATGCCTGAATACTTATCACGGTCGTGCTTAAACTCCATATGGCTTCAAAAAGTGGCAGCTAAAACTGATATACCTAACTTCTGTCCGCGCTGCCGTGCCTTGGCGTCGGAAAAAGACCCGCTAATGAAGTACACAACAACTTTATTGCAACTTTATTGCAATAAGTTAGAACGGTCTCGCGCTATCAAAAGGGTACTTTGGGGCATCGATCCGGGCTGTCTGACCGTCGTTTAGTGGACACCCATCAACATCGACCGGGCTTCTATGAAATGCCTGAATACTTATCACAGTCGGTCGTGCTTCTGTGGGTGCCTGAACACTCACCGACTTTTGCTGATTTGATTAAGTGATTGACTGTCCTGGATGATTCTGGTTTCCCTATCAAAATTTAGGTGAATTTCAAGAATCTAAGTAGGTTCCGGGTATTCTGGGGGTTATTGCAGGATTCCAACTTTCCTGACAGGATCAGACATGTGTAGCTCTGTATGCTACTGATCAGATATGCGAGTGGTGTCCGGTCAGGTATCAAAGCATCTAATGAGAGGAAAATTTGTACCGAAATTATGGAATCGCTTCGCAGTGTTTGCTTTATTATTGTATATTATTCAGCGGAAGTCCAGGAAAGTTCAAGAGCACCCTGAGGTTGTCCACCTTTCAAAATCTCTGTCCAGATAAGATATCACTTTATTCTCTAGTGGCTTTTAACTGCTTAGCTATTATTCGTTGAAAGTGTTCTTCCAACCAAAGTCGTAGCAGGTGGGTTTCAACGTTCTGCTCTTAAGCCCACCATATTTAACCAACCATGTTTACATTGGCAGCAACACGTTATACAAGACCTCACCTTGTCTGATTGTTACCGGTTCAAAGACACCTGGATTCGTTGTTTTCAGTACTAAACAAACATTCTTCTCTGCACCTTTTCGTGAGTAACAGGTTGCTATTTATCAGTATCAACTATAAAAACCGTGTACTTGTCTAATAATGGTTCTAGCCGCCAGAGTTTCGTTCGCCACTGGTTTGGGGAGGTGGGATAATTAGCTGCCCATCAGGGACCGAAGTTGATATAGTTAATTCGTAAGTGCAGGGTTATTGGTATACCTTTAATTGGGGAAGTTGGAGGTGGAGCTATGCATTGGAGGCAATATCGTAGATGCATGACTAAACCACGTCTGAAAATATCTCTGATGTGTCCCGACTCTGTGTCCCCATCCAGGGAAACGGCAATGACCGGCGAAGCTACATTGTTGTTTGACCTCCCCTGACTCGCTTCCCCTTCACGTGGTGTGCGAAAAGAACTCTTCGAGGACACATAATTTTGAATTTCATGAAAATTGTTCAGTGACCTCAAAATAAATTAGTCGGGAGGGGGAATTGTGGTCGGATCTCAAAACGCTCATCCACACAGGCAGTTAGATCCCTACTGAGACCAAACAGGTAAACTTAGGGGGATAAGATGCATAACTCTTTGGTTAACATTTTCTATCTTTTGCTTCAATACTACGTACCAGACTATCAGTTTCAGAAAGTGAGGGGTTTTTGCCAAGACTAAGAAGCACTTCATTCATTCAAAGCTTGCACTGCGACAATATTCTTTGATTTCAACTTACCAATGTTTACTTGTGTCTACTCCTACCTTAGCCGACTTCACGCCAGTGAAGCCAAACATTCCAGAGACACGCATCCCAGTGGTCCGCGAGAACCCTCCATATAACGGATGGGGCTCTGAAGAAGATAGTTTGGCTAACTGCAAGAGCCTTATTCCGGTTGCCCCGAAAGCAGACTTTGTGAAATTTATGACAAAGGACAAACAAGGCCTTGAGTCGTTCATCCTTCGTTTCTACGCTCAACTAATCACGGATATACCAGTGGACAAGGACCGAGTATTTGTAATCAACTGTTTCTTGTCCGATGATACATTCTCCGTATACGAACCACCAAGACGGAACTCAGGTGAGTCTGTTGTATGATTTCAGATTTAGTATGTCCGATTCACGATAACAGCGAATGATGTCCATTAAGTAACCCACAACCGAAACTGAAGAGCTCGTAGATAATCGGTAACCTAATTGACAACGTACTAATACGAAAAAGTAAACATAAAGTCAAAGTGTACGGAGAAAGCAGGAAAAAATAAAATTAGAGAAATGCTGAATCAGACAAGAACTATTGCATTTTGTCTACATTCGGAGGCAAGCATTTTTTCGAACCGTGTGATGATCACCACCCATCCTCGAGCGATCTCCTAATAGGGATTATCTTTGAAAAATTTTCAGATTGCCTTCTTTCTGGCTAGGCAGTTGAGAAGCACCACTAGTGTCCTCAGCCATTCAGTGCAGTCCATTTCGTGCAATCAGGGAAAACCTAACTTTTAAAACGCGTCTATAACAAAGCATAGCAGGCCAAAATGATGTTCATTTATCGTCCTAAACCAGCTGTGTGAATTCCGGTAAGCCTAACTCTTTGCGGAAGGACACCATTTAGGCGTCCATGTTACTGCGGTCGATTCAGCATATCGGTAACCAAAAAGTGTGATCTCATATTATTTTCACCGTCCACAATACAACCACCAGATTTGTGAAACTCTCTCGGGGAAAGGATGAAGAAGAAAAGTTATTTACCGTTATCTCCTTACAGTGGATCCACTCTAGACCGAGGAACCAAGGGTCTGTATATGTCCGTAAAGTCGTACTGTCCTCTGCGACAGGAGTGTGAAGGCAGTAAGGTGTTTCCCCCAGGCGACCAGCATGTCCATATTTATGGAAGCAGCGATGCTGCCTTCCCCCGAGGAAGGACGGGTTAGAAAAGGT